TCTAGATATTCACTGGACACCTGTACATTCCATACTGACCAATCTAGATATTCACTTGACACCTGTACATTCCATACTGACCAAACCTCAATCAGATCCCCTTCCCCTAGAGATTTCAGCCTTTTCTTGTATGACAACCCCTCCATCCCAGGCACCATTCTCTGAACCCTTTCCAACAATTCAATTTCCTTCCTAAGGTAAGGAGCTCAAGACTGGACACAGTACTCCAAATGTGGTCTAACCAGTGACCTGTGCAATGAATGTATAACCTCTTTAGACTTGTATTCAATATTTCTATAGATATAACCTAAAATCCTATTTGCCCTACCACTAGCAACAGCACACTGCCTGGATGGCTTTAGAGACTGATCGACAATTACACCAAGATCCCTTTCTTTCATGACACTGTTAAGGAATAAACAGGTGTCAAGTGAATATCTAGATTGGTCATTATGGAATGTACACGTGTCTAGTGAATATCTAGACTGGTCAATATGGAATGTACACTTGTCAAGTGAATATCTAGATTGGTCATTATGGAATGTACACGTGTCTAGTGAATATCTAGACTGGTCAATATGGAATGTACACTTGTCAAGTGAATATCTAGATTGGTCAGTATGGAATGTACACGTGTCAAGTGAATATCTAGATTGGTCAGTATGGAATGTACAGGTGTCCAGTGAATATCTAGACTGGTCAGTATGGAATGTACACGTGTCAAGTGAATATCTAGACTGGTCAATATGGAATGTACACGTGTCAAGTGAATATCTAGATTGGTCAGTATGGAATGTACAGGTGTCCAGTGAATATCTAGATTGGTCAGTATGGAATGTACACTTGTCAGGTGAATATCTAGATTGGTCAATATGGAATGTACAGGTGTCAAGTGAATATCTAGATTGGTCAGTATGGAATGTACAGGTGTCAAGTGAATATCTAGATTGGTCAGTATGGAATGTACAGGTGTCCAGTGAATATCTAGATTGGTCAGTATGGAATGTACACGTGTCAAGTGAATATCTAGATTGGTCAGTATGGAATGTACAGGTGTCAAGTGAATATCTAGATAAGAGAATATTTTATTGTAATGTATTTACTTAGAGAGCAAGTCAAACATTGATCGACATCCAATGAAACGAGTGGTTACTTCTCAATCTTCCTTGCACACAAGAGAATATTCTATTGTAATGTAATTACTTAGAGAGCAAGTCAAACATTGATCGACATCCAATGAAACGAGTGGTTACTTCTCAATCTTCCTTGCACACAAGAGAATATTTTTCCTTCACATTTTTAAATAGAAATATAATACAAAAACATTTATGGCTACATTCAATTTGTTCAACTTTGTTTTAGGTTCACAACTAAATACAAGACGATAATGATATATAAAATGTAAATTAAGCAATCAATAATGTTTTTGATAACGTTTTGGGACAACATTGGACCTATTGGTCCATCTCAGCTGGTCCATCCTCTGAACTAAATTAAAATAATAATAATAATAATAAAAATCTTAAAGCCAGCCCTTATCATTCATATACTTAAAGCTTTTTCTTAAACTCACTTAAATTTACTGTGTCTACAACATCCAAAGGCCAACCACCCTGTTAGAAAAATGAAACTGTCTTAGCTGAAGATGACTCCTACCTTGCCAAAATTTATATTTATGTCCCCTAGTCCTACTATTCTCACAGTTAAATATGAAAAGATGATGCATCAACACTATTAATTCCCTTTATGATCTTAAACATTGTGCAAGGAAGATTGAGAAGTAACCACTCGTTTCATTGGATGTCGATCAATGTTTGACTTGCTCTCTAAGTAAATACATTACAAT